CGATTTTTCAACTATTTGTATAATTTCAAAATAAAAACGAATGTGCCGTCGATAACTTTCCGTCAAACTTAGGCAACTAGATAAATTTTCCCAATTTAATGAATTTTTTGTTATTTGAACTTTAAGACTGTTTTTCTCGAATTTTTTTCAAATAATAACATATTGAAAATTTTATACAGTCGGAACCGGAATAAAAACTACTACCAAAATCAATAATAAAATATATAGGTTTCCGTTTTAAAAAAAAGTCGAAGACGTCATAACTTAAAAAATAAATGACATAAGAAACTGAAAATAGACCGAGAATATTTGTTGAAGTTAAAATCGCTATACCCCTCCTTTTCCAAAAAATTAATATCAACGGAATTACTGAATTTATGCGTTACTTAATTTCCACACTGTATGTAATTATCGTGCATGCAAACAACTGTAAAATTTCTAATAGAGGTAATAATACAACAATTTCTTTTCACAAGAAGGCTTATCAGTCATATTATTAGCATACGTGTGTGTCAACCAGATCATCCAATTACATGACAATACACAAAATAATACACAGTAGAGTCGTTGAAGCAGAAATGTGTAACCCCTAGGCGATTTTATTACGACCATGCATCGTTTAAAGGTTTTTAACAGGACGTTTATTTTGGCAAAGGGTAGTAGAATCTTGTTGAGTATGTATATCTAAAACACAATAGACGACGATGTTCTGTATTTTTCCAATAAAAATAAAATGAATAAAAATATACTACGGTTTGCCATATATGGCAGATTTTAGTTGTCCTTGGTCTTAAATACACAATTTAGTTTTTCGGATTTTGAGGCAAAATTACTATCTTCACAAGAGAAATTAAACAGACGAGAATATTTCAATTTTTACTTATTATTGAGGAATGTTCACTAAATATAACTGGCAATTTAAAATAACTCTACCCCACATCCCTTTTAGACAAATATTTTTTTCTAGGTTGCATAGCTTTGTTGGAACCTACCGGGTGACACAGGAGACATGTAACACCCCGTAGCATGTTTATTTAAAAAGATATTATTTTGAAATTAGGTACACTTATATAATGTATGATTGTCCTTTTTTAAGTACAAAAAATTTTTGTCCACCACTTCCGGTTTCACCGGAAGTGACATCTACTCTGTTATTTTAAATGGCACCCTGTATATTTTTTTTGCCTATCTGATTTGCCTCTAGATTCTCTTTTCAACCATGTATCGGAACATGGCATTTGTTTTTTAAAATGACAGTTAATATCAATTTTAGTTTGTTAAGTCTAGGTGGCCCTGATATGAACCTTGGCAGATATTGATGCGTAGTGTGCCGTGATATCGAAAGACCTCTGGCATGCAACTTTGTGCCTCATATTTTTTGGGAATAACCAGTAGCTGAACAGACTAATAAGATCTAACTTATTTAAAAAAAATATCTTTAAACAACCCACGATATCTTAAAAACCAAGATAGGAACCCCATTTTTTACTTCACCTAGTTAAAAAATACTTATTTATCTTTTATTTTTGTCCAATACAATTGCTGTGCCTATCATATTTTGCTTTCTTCATTAAAATTAGTATCGAATGTTATTGCATAGTAATGAATATTGTACTGCAACAAAAATATTTAGTAAGCAAGCAGTGGAAACAAAAGAAGGTAAAACGACGCGTCATTTTGTTTTGACAATTAAGAATTGTTTACTTGGCAGCAATTTAAGTATTTTTCATTAAATTATACCTAAGTTATCACGTTTGTAACTCTATTTTGCCATGTATTCACCAAATGAAAAAGTAGATATGCTACTAATCTATCGCGAATGTAAAAAAAATAGCAGGCAGGCTGCTGTCTTATATGAAGAAAGATTTCCCGAAAGAATTCATCCACCAAACAACTATTTTGTAAGAGTTGAACGGCAATTCAGAAGTGAACCAGAAGTACCGGAAAATAATTTCATTATCAAAGAAGACTCGGAAATCAATGTACTTGCAATTGTCGAGGTAGATCCCACGATTTCGATAAGACAGATTGAGGACCAAACCGGTGTAAATCGGGAATCAGCTCGACGCATTTTAAAAAAACATAAATTTAAATCATACAAGTACCAAATACATCAGCATTTATACGAAAATGATTTTCAAAGAAGATTGAACTATTGCAATTGGTTTCTGAACAGACACAATTTGGATAATAATTTTTCATGAACAAATTTTATTTTCCGACGAGTTCACTAATTTGGGTTTATTCAATCGTAACAACACCCGTTATTGGGCACAAGAAAATCCCAGAAATATGAGAGAAAGTGCATATCAGGAGCGATTTAGTTTTAATGTATGGTTAGGAGTAATTGGCAGAAGAATTATTGGGCCAATAATTTTTGATGGTCCATTAAATGGAGAAAGATATTTGGGATTTTGCAAAACCAGATATAAGATTTTTTTGGAAGAACTGCCACCTAATGTTAACCCAATAATTTTTCAACAGGATGGGGCTCCACCACATAACAGCAGAGTTGTGGTGAATTATTTAAATGAAAGGTTTGGAGAAAACTGGATGGGAACAAATGGGCCCGTTCGATGGCCTGCAAGGTCACCAGACCTTACGCCGCTTGATTTTTTTGTATGGGGCCACCTCAAGGAAAACGTTTATAGGACTCCACCAACAAACAGAGAAGACATGGAAATGAGAGTCAGAAGAACAATCGATGGGATTACTGAATTACAGTTAGATAACGTGCTTAGGGCTACCGTCACAAAAAACACGATTGTGCAGAGATAATAACGGACAACATTTTGAACATCTGTAGTAAAAAAATGTTTTTTGTATGTAGTACTTCAGTAAATATTTTATTTAATTTCATTCATTCGTTGTAAAAATGTATTACATAGTGTAATGGTTTTTCATCAATTTTGTTCAAATGTGTTTTACTGATGTTTCTTATTTATTAAAAAAATCGTTTTACCTACTTTTATTTTGTTTTCCACCGCCTGCTTACTAAATATTTTTGTTGCAGTACAATATTCATTACTATGCAATAACATTCGATACTAATTTTAATGAAGAAAGCAAAATATGATAGGCACAGCAATTGTATTGGACAAAAATAAAAAGATAAATAAGTATTTTTTAACTAGGTGAAGTAAAAAAATGGAGTTCCTATCTTGGTTTTTAAGATATCGTGGGTTGTTTAAAGATATTTTTTTAAATAAGTTAGATCTTATTAGTCTGTTCAGCTACTGGTTATTCCCAAAAAAATATGAGGCACAAAGTTGCATGCCAGAGGTCTTTCGATATCACGGCACACTATGCGTCAATATCTGCCAAGGTTCATATCAGGGCCACCTAGACTTAACAAACTAAAATTGATATTAACTGTCATTTTAAAAACAATTGCCATGTTCCGATACATGGTTGAAAAGAGAATCTAGAGACGAATCAGATAGGTAAAAAAAATATACAGGGGTGCCATTAAAATAACAGAGTAGATGTCACTTCCGGTGAAAACGGAAGTGGTGGACAAAAATGTTTTGTACTTAAAAAAGGACAATCACGCATTATATAAGTGTACCAAATTTGAAAATAATATCTTTTTAAATAAACATGCTACGGGGTGTTACATGTCTCCTGTGTCACCCGGTATATGTAATAAATGTCTAATAAGTGTGATTAAAGAAAATTCAACCGTTCTTGAGGAATTGAGAATTAATAACATAATAACCTATAATTTGAGGGCCTGTTCTTTCTGTAGGAATACTACCCATAATTTAACTACAGTTTTATCAGAAAATCAAAAATCTAACGAAGTCTGAGCAACATAATGCCACGTGTCTCCCTGTTGGAAATTTAGTTTGATTTTTTTGTCGGTGTAAAGCAGTATACAGCATCCACAGGCATAGGGGGAACTAAGGTAGTGGACGCAATACCCCGGTTGTGAAAATATTATAAATATTTCTATAAATGTATAACCTCTCTAGGAAAACCTTGGTATTTTATTATTGTTATACCTTTATTAGTAAAATTCATCTATTTATATTAATTAACTGCTGGTAGATGGAGTTATCTTGTACTCATTAGTACTCTACTCTCACATAAAGACATTTAATATCGAGATCCTTCTTGTCGACATTGTGTGCATCTACTTCGTATTGATGAAGGCAAACAACAAGAAACCGGTCTACGAATGGTGTTTGCGACGACCTGAAGGACTTCCTTTTATTAAATAAAAACCCTTTATTAGTGGTCAATCGCAGTTAAAGCATAAAGCACTCTTTCGTATGATACAAGTTTATAAATCATAAAAAACAAATAAAAAAACACAAAAAAAAAAACCCCACACACACACCCCCCCCCCCCCCCCCCCCCAAAAAAAAAAAAAAAAAAAAAAAAAAAAAACAACCCCCCCCAAAAAAAATAAGAAAAAAAAAAAAGAGAAAAAAAGAGAAGAATTATTTTTTAGAGGGGGGAAAAAAAAAAAGGGGGGGGGGGTGTGCAAAGAGAGAGGGAGAAAAACCCAAAAAAAAACCAAAAAATTTTTATTAAAAAAAAAAAAAAAATTTTTTTTTTTTTTTTTAAAAAATTATTATTTTTTTTTTAAAAAAAAAAAATTTTTTTTTTTATAAAATAGGTTTTCCCCCCGGCGCGGAACAAATTTTTTTTTTTTTCTCCCCCCGGGGGGGGGGGGGGACACATTGCGGGGGGGGGGGTTTTATTAAAAAAAAAAAAAAAAAAAAAATGAAAAAAAATCTCAAGACGTGTGCTCTGCTACGTAAGTAGTAGCCACGTGTGGTTATTTTATTTAAATTTGTGAATGAGAGGATTAAGACTTTGTACCTTTTGGTATAGCTTTCAGTATTTATTTACTATTTGTGCAAGATTTTATCAATCAATTCATTATTTAATAATTGTAATGCAACAAGTAATAAATTTTTTTATATACAACTTGTATTCACTGTTTTGATGGCATATCATACTGGAGATTTAAAATATAATCAAATAAGAGTGGCTTCGTGGTCGAGTGGTAAGGACACTTGCCTCTTACCCAGGAGTTCCGAGTTCGATCCACAGCCGAGGAGCTAGAATTTTTTTCTAAACCAAAAAATAATCCTTGCATATTCGGACATTGGATGTGTGTCCATTGTTTCTAAATGTGTGGCCCTCTCCCACACAGGGCACCTTGAGATGCCTTCAGGGATATAGGGGGTTGTATTAGTACCAATAGCGAGACGATACGTAAAGTCCATTCTCTCCCTCTAATGGCGGGGAATAGCAGACTAAACACAGATAATAAAAAATTAATTTACACGATGATAGTGAGACGGGCCTTAGTATATGATGCACCAGCCTGGTGTCTGCGAGTGCGACGACGTTACACAAATTGCAGTTACTTGAAAACAAATTCCTTCGCAAGATATATCCCCATAAGGGAATTACGACAACTTTGCAACGACATTGTACTCTTGTGAATTATATCAATTTTACTAATTTAAACTGATTGTCCACGAACCGCCAACATTACACAAATAAAGGAGTATAACGCACCATTTCGAATAAAACACAAATTACCAATTTTCAGACATCTTTAGACACGCTCCTCCCACAAAATGGAAAAACTCTCCCACACTATAAAAGGGGCACCAAAATTCAATATTTGTTTTCTCACTTTTCTTTACTTTTTGTTCGTTTCTGTTATCAAAATTCCCCACAAAATTTATTTCAAATTATAAGCTAATCATCACTAAATTGTGGCACATTATCATACACACGAAATATCATTAAATACCCAAAAATAAACAGAGTTGGACATTCCCGCTTCCCAGTTCAGTATTGATTAAAGGAGAGCTTTTTACTGTGACAGTTTGGTTCGTCGAAGCATCGTCAAAATTGAAAATTATTATACGCAAATTTGTACAATTTTATATATTTTTTTGCATTGTTTTAAAGTTTTTGTATCAACGGCGCATGTTTTTGCATGCGTCTTTGATCACTTGTTTTCGGCGTTATCATATAATTTAAAAATATTTCTGTTTAGATGTTGTATTTGTTGTTATATTTTAGTTTAAAGCCCAGGCCGGCCCCGTTCCGCCCGACCTCACAATTGCCCGGGGGGGGGGGGGGGGGGGGGGGGGGGGGGGGGGGGGGGGGGGGGGGGGGGGGGGGGGGGGGGGGGGGGGGGGGGGGGGGGGGGGGGGGGGGGGGGGGGGGGGGGGGGGGGGGGGGGGGGGGGGGGGGGGGGGGGGGGGGGGGGGGGGGGGGGGGGGGGGGGGGGGGGGGGGGGGGGGGGGGGGGGGGGGGGGGGGGGGGGGGGGGGGGGGGGGGGGGGGGGGGGGGGGGGGGGGGGGGGGGGGGGGGGGGGGGGGGGGGGGGGGGGGGGGGGGGGGGGGGGGGGGGGGGGGGGGGGGGGGGGGGGGGGGGGGGGGGGGGGGGGGGGGGGGGGGGGGGGGGGGGGGGGGGGGGGGGGGGGGGGGGGGGGGGGGGGGGGGGGGGGGGGGGGGGGGGGGGGGGGGGGGGGGGGGGGGGGGGGGGGGGGGGGGGGGGGGGGGGGGGGGGGGGGGGGGGGGGGGGGGGGGGGGGGGGGGGGGGGGGGGGGGGGGGGGGGGGGGGGGGGGGGGGGGGGGGGGGGGGGGGGGGGGGGGGGGGGGGGGGGGGGGGGGGGGGGGGGGGGGGGGGGGGGGGGGGGGGGGGGGGGGGGGGGGGGGGGGGGGGGGGGGGGGGGGGGGGGGGGGGGGGGGGGGGGGGGGGGGGGGGGGGGGGGGGGGGGGGGGGGGGGGGGGGGGGGGGGGGGGGCGGGGGGGGGGGGGGGGGGGGGGGGGGGGGGGGGGGGGGGGGGGGGGGGGGGGGGGGGGGGGGGGGGGGGGGGGGGGGGGGGGGGGGGGTTTTGGGGGGGGGGGGGGGGGGGGGGGGGGGGGGGGGGGGGGGGGGGGGGGGGGGGGGGGGGGGGGGGGGGGGGGGGGGGGGGGGGGGGGGGGGGGGGGGGGGGGGGGGGGGGGGGGGGGGGGGGGGGGGGTGGGTTTTTTTTTTTTGGGGTTGGGGGGGGAGCGTCGCCACCCTACGCGGGGATGCTAAGTTTGTAACGGACTAGGTGTCTGGCGAGGGTCATATATTTGTTCTCTTTAATTGTTAATAAAATTGTTTTGAATTGAATTGGGGGCTATATTACCTGTGATATTTAATTTAATTTAAAAAGAATTGAATTTATAAAATATGCATACGCCTCCACACGCTATGTGTGAGATTATGTTACAATTATCATATCTCATGGTATTTATGGTTTTTAAATCTCGTGTAAATTTCAAATCTGTCTAATCGGAAAGCCGAACAGATACTCAGTCAGAGTGATGAGTAAAACTGGTTGGAATTAGATACCGTGGAATTTTGATCTCAGGCGATTTACTTCTCGGACTCTTTGGATCTCATGGGATTTTGATATCGGAATTTTTAAGTATGCGTCCATGATAAAACACGTATGTAGAACTGAACAAAGGGTGGTGCGTTAGATCTTGTGGGAAAATTATTTCGGGGTATTTAGATCTCAGGGGATTAAGTCCCGTGAATTTAGACTACATGGTACATCATTCTCAATGGTTATTAGTCGAATACGGTTTACTTTTTTGAGAAAAATATTTATCGCAAACTCCCGATGTTTGGAAGGTTACTCTTGGGACACCCCCTATTATATTTATAAAATTAACAATTCACTTTCTTTATCTAGAAAAACTCAACTTTGTTTGTTATAAAATATCACATACATTCATATCATTAATCGACATAATAGTTATTTGCAAAAGCCACTTCATCTGTCCAAATTTTGGTCACGTCGAATATAAGTTTACACAAAATTAAAAACAACCAAGCCTACTCTGTCATAACAACCATTACACCCCACCCACTTTTATAGCTAGTACTAGTTTCAGACACAATTGCTCGGCTTATTTTCATTAAGGACGTGTACTCACATTTACTAGAAATAATTTTCATTGTTAGTCAGCACACAATCGTACTCTAATCTGCTTTTGCGTTCCCTTTGCCTTGTTCTAGATTCAGGCCCTGTCGAGACGTGATGTTTTAGGCTGAAATGCTACAAAATAGACTCAATGCTTCTTTGGATGTTGTTTAATCTCAATATAAATGCCAGTATTTCGCCTTCTTTTATTATTCGTGTTATCTGACTATTTTATTTAAAGAAATAAATTTAATTTTATTATTTTATACCGCAATCATGTTTTAACTACTAGTTAAAATGTAAAGTTTTTAAACGTGACAATGCTTTTAGAAACGAAATTTCCATCTCACGTATCTGACTAGTTGCCTCCACTCAAGATGTACTTAGATATGGATGTTTCTGTAACTGAAAGAATCTATTTTAAAAACTTTCGTCTACTATGAACGTTTTCATTATAAAATAGATACATTAAGAATAATAAGTAAAATTTATAGATAGAAATCGTTCAGATGACAATAAATGTATGGAATTATGCAAATAGAGTCGGAAAGATTTACCTATGAGAATATGATTTATTTACTTTACTGGTTAATAAGAGATCTTTTAAAATTCAAAAATAACATCTTAGCCAAAAAAGAGTGACATTGCGGTCCAAATGTATGGAATAAAATAATTTTAAGCGTAATTAAGTACTTTTAGGAAAAATCCTGAAATAGGCCGATTTTTTATTTTGAATTACCATTTTCTAACATGATAATAATACTCCCCGCGTTTACCCATTCTGAATTATGACTATACCCCCGAAAATTTTAAATTAGGAAGGGTGTCTTGTGGTACCTCGTGCGAAAGAAATTTTGATTCTTTATTCAGTAGTATAAAGTTTTTTAAATTTTTGGCATTAATTACTGAGAAAATTAATTTTGAGGATGTAAAATTTTGTGAATGTCTTGTAAACTCAGCTGAGGTATTTTTTTGCTAAATGATTGGTTTTGAAGAAAAATTAAAACTGATCTGTTGTTGCTTTTAAAGTTTTTAATAGAAAATTGCACCCACCTCAACCCTTTACATAGAATGAAGTGCAGAATCTCACATAATATTAAGAATGTGTTTCCAATTTATTTGAATGTGTTTCCAATTTATTTTACAATAAAATTAAATATTCAAAATGACTGCCAGTTGCCTTTTGACAATAACCAAGGCGAACTTTGAATTCTCGGATGACGTTTTGTGTGACCTTAAGGTTTATTTTGTGAATTTCTTCGGGTATCCTATTTTTACTTCTGCAATATTGTCTAGTCGATTAACATACACCTTTGATTTTAAACAGCTCTATAAAAAATTATCAAAGGATGTTAAATCGGGAAACCGAAATGACCATTCAATAGGTCCAAGTCTTCCAATTCACCTGTTAGGGAAACTTCGTTTAAATAATTTCTCACTCTACGTGAACAATGCGATGGAGCTCCAGATCTTGTTGGTACCAAATAGTCTATTTTATTTGGATAATTAACATCAGGAAAAAGTGTTTTTAATGTAGACACTAAAAAGTTCGTCAAAAACCGTTAACTTTGCCTCCAAAAAAATAAGGGCCAGTAATTTGATTATTAATGATACTAATCCAAACATTCAATTTTTGAGGAAATTGTGTATGAGCCTCCATCATCCAATGAGGATTTTTTCTACTCCAATATCGACAGTTCTGGCGGTTTACCGCTCCATTTAATTGAAATCTTGGTTCATCAGAAAAAACAATTTTGATTATAAACTGCAATCTGCTAGCATTGAGTTCATCATTAATTTATAGAATTCTTGCCTTCGATCAGGATCATCCTCATTTAACTCCTGAACCAACTTAACTCTATTGGGATAGTATTTTTCTTTCTTTAAAACTCGTAGAATCGATGATTTATTTACATAATTGTCGGTAATAAGTTATCTAATTGGTTGATTATGCGGATTTTCCTCAATTTCTTCCAATGCATCTAACCGTTTTGCTTCATCAAATCGAGGAGTTCTACCTGATTTTTGAATATTTCTTACATGTCCAATTTCACGAAATTTGTTTTCTATTTTACTGACTGTAGATTGTGATAATTGCTGAACAGGGTACTTATTATTAAACATTTCACAAACCTC